GCAACATAGGAGAGGCTACCTTAAATGCCCTCCCCTAATAATGGGATTGAAGACTTACTTATATCCCATCCTATAGCCTTCATCAAGCAGCTGGTGGAAGTAGAATATATGCAAAGCTAAATGATGACCTGATCCCCTGGAATCCAGTTTCAGGAAGGGAAGAGTGATGAGCAAATATGTCAATGCCAGGCTGGAAATACCCACAGAATCAGCTCATGTGACCAAGTGGAAACTCACCCACACCATTCTGACAACTGGGGAACCATCATACTAACAAATAAGCCCTTCTTAATGGGCTTATCAGTTGGGTGAAGTGGACACTCTATGAGGTCATAGGAATGGCCTTTGTGAGCCCCTTCCTCAGGTATTCTCCCTGAGCCTAGACATGGGATGGGCCCATGTCCTATCCCAAAGAATATGACAGACTTTGAACAACCCCCCCTATGGAAGGCCTTGCCTTCCCTGGGGAGCAGAAAGGGTATGAGATAGGTACGGTGTTAGTTGGGTGGGGGCAAGAGAGGAAGGGAGGCAGAGGAAATTGGAACTGACATGTAAAACAATCTTGTTTCTAATTCAAATAAAAATATTAACAAAAACCCTAGCCATTGGGCCTCCATGGGACTTAACTGTCCTCTGTATATGGGAGACAGTTGCAAAGCTTGGACTATCTGAGGGGCCCCTCAAAATAGGACCAGGATCTAATCCCTGGGACATGGACTAGCTTGTTGGAACCCATTCCCTATGAAGGCCATACTCAGCCTTAACATTGGTGGTGGGGTTGGTCTTGCCCCAACTTAATGTGCCAGACATTGTCAACTCCCCATGGGAGCCCTTACCTTTTGGGAGGAATAGATTGAATAGTGGGGGAGGATGGGGGAATGAGAAGAGAACTTTGGTTGGAATGTAAAATGAGATTAAATATAATAAACTTAATAAGATGAAGCAATACTAACCACATAATTTGAAACATTTTTACCTTTTGTTCTGAACTACTGTTCTGTATGTCTGGCTGATAAGCAACTGAGGATACTGATATTTTTGTAACATTCTTTGAATTACTCTGAGACTGATTAACAGCAGTTGATACGTGTCCTAGGAGTAAATGAGAAAGATCATTTGGTTTTGAGCATGCTCTTGAGTGTAACAAATTGTATTTCCTTAAGCTAATTATTAACATTTTACATATTCATGAGAAACTATTTCCCAAAGAGTTTCATTGGGATTACTCATATAAGTGCTCCCCTTAAAGGTTGAAATCAATCTTTCTTTCTGTTCCCAAGAATATTGATCTGAAACTCTTAAGATTTGTTTGTTTTCTGAACTTTTACATTAATGCAATTATACAATGTATACACTTCTCCTTTGTTTTTATTTTGGGAGAAGTAAAATGATTTTTATGCAATACAATGTTGTTTGGATACACTTCACTTTGTAGTCTACCATCAGTTCACAGACATCTCAGTTGTTTTCAATTCCAGCCACTTCTTAAATGAACTTCTGTAAATTTTCATGGACAAACTATTTGTACATATACATATAACATATCAATATATATATACATATATATATGTGTGTGTGTGTGTGTGTGTGTGTGTGTGTGTGTGTGTCTATAAAACTATTGATCTGTCTCTGCATCTACTTCAGTTGAAGTGAATAAAGATATATCATAAAAACTCTCTAGGCCATTTCGTAAATATAATTTTAAGTTACTTCAAAAACTTTATCAAAGTGACCACCTTATTTTAATATTAATCATCAATGGATCATAATTTATTTTCCTTCACATATGCCTTTCAACACTTAATAAGCAGAGAAAATTATTCATTTAAAGACATAGGAAAAATTAATAAATTATACCAACAGGTGACTCTAAATTCAGTAAAAATGGAAAACAAGACTGACCAGGGAAAGGAAAGGACATGTGTCAACACAGCTGAGTCTAGAGATAATTACCAAATGATTAAGAAAGGTGTACAATCCAACATGTATGAAATGAAAACATATATAAAAACATTCTTGAAAACTCACATATCAACCCTGTTTATGCATAAGTAAAAATATGAATAAATTATTGTCTAATGAAAATGGGCTGAGAAAGAAATCAGAGAAACATTACCCTTTACAATAGCCAGAAACAACATAAAATATCTTTGGGTAACGCTCCCCAAATAAGTGAAAGACCTGTATATCAAGAACTTTGAGTCTTTAAAGAAAGAAATTAAAGGAGATACCAGAAAATGGAAAGATCTCCCATGCTCGTGGATAGGTATGATCAACATCTAGGATCTTGCCAAAAGCAATCTATAGATTCAATGCAATCCTCACCAAAATCCCAGCACAATTCTTCACAGACCTTGAAAGAACAATACTCAACTTGATATGGAGAAACAAGACAACCAGGAAAGCCAAATAAAGGAACGTCTGGAGGCATCACAATCCCTGATTTCAAGCTGTTCTATTACAGACCTATAATCCTGAAAACAGCTTGATATTGGCACAAACATAGACAGGTAGACCAATGGAATCAAATCGAAAACCCTGATATCAACCCACACACATACAAACACCTGATTTTTGACAAAGAAGCTACAATTATACAATGGAAAAAAGAAAGCATCTTCAACAAATGGTGCTCGCATAACTGGATGCTGGCATGTAGAAGACTGAAGTTAGAACCATGTCTATTGCCATGAACAAAACTTAAGTCCAAATGGATTAAAGATCTCAACATAAATTCAGCCAAGCTGAACCTCTTAGAAGAGAAAGTGGGAGGTATCCTTGAGCAAATTGGTACAGAAGATTGCTTCCTGAACATAACACCAGTAGCACAGACACTGAGATCAGCAATTAATAAATGGGACCTCCTGAAACTTAGAAGCTTCTGTAAGGCAAAGGACACAGTCAGCAAAACAACAGCCCATAGAATGGGAAAAGATATTTACCAACCCCACATCCGACAGAGGGCTGATCTCCAAAATTTACAAAGAACTCAAGAAGCTAGTTTCCAAAACATCAAATAATCCAATTAAAAACTGGAGTACAGAACTAATTAGAGAATTCTCAATAGTCTAAAATGGCTGATAGACACTTAAGAAAATACTCAACATCCTTAGCCATCAGGGAAATGCAAATCAAAATAACTCTGAGATACCATCTTACTCCTGTCAGTATGGCTAAAATCCAAAACACCCAATGACAGTTTATGCTGGACAGGATGTTGAGAAAGGGGAACATTCCTGCACTGATGGTGGGAGTGCCAACTCACACAGCCACTTTGGTATCAGTGTGGAGACTGCTCAGGAAAATGGGAATTAGTCTACCACAAGATCCAACAATTCCACTCTTAGGCATATACACAAAAGATGCACATTCATACAACAAGGACACCTGTTCAATCATGTTCATAGCAGCATTATTTTTAATAGTCAAACCTGGAAGCAACCTAGATGCCCCTCAACTAAAGAGTGTATAGAGAAAATATGGTACATTTACACAAAGGACTACTAACTCAGCAGAAAAAAACAAAACAAAACAACAACAACAACAAAAAAACAATGGTATCTTGAAATTTGTAGGGAAATGGATGGAACTAGAAGAAACGCAGTCACAAAAAGACAAACATGGTATATACTCACTCATTTATAGATTTTTAGACATAGAGCAATGATTACTAGCCTACAATCCACTCCACCAGAGAAACCAGCTAGGAAACAAGGAGGACCCTAAGAGAGACATATATCGCCCCCTCCATCCCGAAAAGGGGAAAGGAACAAGATCTTCTGAGGAAAATGGGAGCATAGGCGGAGGGGAGAGGGTTCTGGGAGAATGAGAAGAGGAGAAGAGGATGGGAGAGGAGGACATGAGGATGCAGGAAGGTTGAGTTGGGGGAAAGAATGATGGAGAACAAGACAAGAGATATCATAGTAGAGGGAGCCATTATAGGTTTAAAGAGAAATCAATCAGGTACTAGGGAAATGTCTGGAGATCTACAAGGATGACACCAACTAACAATCTAAGCAACAGTGGAGAGGCTACCTTTAATGTCCTTCCCTGATAATGAGATTGACGACTACCTTATATGCAATCCTAGAGCCTTCATTCAGTAGCTGATGGAAGCAGAAGCAGAGGCCCACAGCTAAACACTGAACCAAACTCCTGGAATCCAGTTGCAGAGAGTGAGGAGTGATGAGCAAAGGGGGCAAGATCAGGCTGGTAAAACCCACAAAAACAGCTGACCTGAATAAGGGGGAGCTCATGGACTCCAGACTGATACTTGGGAAACCAGCATAGAACTAATCTAGTCCCACTGAACGAGGATGTCACTGAGGAAGACTCAGAAATCTATGGGACCTCCGGTAGTAGATCAGTACTTATCTCTAGCATACAAATGGACTCTGGGAGCCCACTCCACATTGAAGGATATTCTCTTTGCCTAGACACACTGGGAAGGGCCTAGGCCTTGCTGTAAATCATATGACAGACTCTGAAAATGCCCCATAGAAGGCCTCACCCTCCTTCGGCAGCAGAAAGGGTATGGCATAGGGTGTTGGGTTTCAGGGAAGGAGAGGAGGTAGAGGGAATTGGGATTGACATGTAAAACAAGCTTGTTTCTAATTTAAATAAATAAATGGAAGAAGAAAATCTAAAAATAAATAAACATAATACTAGTCTAAAACCATTTTCTACAAAAAACATTCAAATACAAATTAGTTACTGGGTTTATGTGACTTCTTAGAATTGAAGACAATTTCTAAGGGAAATTAAATTTACACAAACTTTCAAAACACTGAACTGCAAACATTTCTCAACTCCCACTGTTGTGAATTGCTGCATATAGTTTATATAATATTGGGCTTCATAAAGACATTTCTATACAGGTATATAATAGACTTTCTCCTCCTCTTTTCCCTTACCCTTCCCATTAGTCACCATTAATCATGCAGTTTCATTTTTTGTATATAAGTGATTATTATTTTAAAGTCGATGATTCTTTTTTTTAGAAAGAAAATTATTTTACATGTCAATCCCAGGTCCCTCACCCTCCCTTCCTCCCCTGCCCCCCAACTAATGCCCTACCCATCCCATACCCTTTCTGCTCCCCAGGAAGGGTGAGGCCTTCCATAGGGGGTCTTCAAGGTCTTTCATATTCTTTGTGATAGGGCCTAGGCCAAACCCCTTATGTCTAGGCTCAGGGAGTATCCCTCCATGTGGGATGGGCTCGTAAAGTCCATTCCTATGGTAGCGATAAGTACTGATCCACTACAAGAGGCCCCACAGATTTTCAGGGTCTCCTCACTGACAGCCACATTCAGTCACATGCTGGTTTCCCAGCTATCAGTCTGGGAACCAAAAATTTTCCCTTGTTCAGGTCAGCTGGTTCTGTGGGTTTCACCAGCCTGGTATGGACCATTTTGCTCATCAGTCCTCCTTCTCTGCATATGGATTTCAGTTCAGTTCAAAGTTTAGCTGGGGGTGTCTATTTCTACTTCCACCAGCTACTGGATGATGGCTATACAAAGGCATATGAAGGCAAAGGAAACATTCAAAAAGACAATATGACAGCCCATGGATTGGGAAAAGATAATCACCAACCCCACACCTGACAGAAGGCTGATCTCCAAAATTTACAAAGAACTCAAAAAGCTAGTCTCCAAAACACCAAATAAACCAATTAAAAAGTGGGGTACAGAACTAAATAGACAATTCTCAATAGAGGATTCTAAAATGGCTGAAAGACACATAAGAAAAGTGTTCAACACCCTTAGCCATCAGGGAAATGTAAATCAAAACAACTCAGATACCATCTTACACCTGTCAGAATGGCTAAAATCAAAAATATCAATGACAGTTTATGCTGGAGAGGTTGTGGAGAAAGGGGAACACTCCTCCACTGCTGGTGGGAGTGCCAACTCATACAGCCACTTTGGAAATCTGTATGGCAATTCCTCAGGAAAATGGGAATCAGTCTACCACAAGGTCCAGCAATTCCACTCTTAGGCATATACCCAAAAGAAGCACATTCCTACAACAAGGACATCTGTTCAACTATGTTCATAGCAGCATTCTTGGTAATAGCCAGAACTTGGAAACAACCTAGATGCCCTTCAACTGAAGAATGAATAAAAAAATGTGGTACATTTAAACAATGGAGTACTACTCAGAGGGGGAAAAAAAAGGCAATGGAATCTTGAAATTTGAAGGCAAATGGATGGATCTAGATAAAACCATTCTGGGTGAGTTAACCCAGTCACAAAAAGACAGGCATTGTATGTACTCACTCATATGTGGATTTTAGAGTAAAGGATTGCCAGCCTGCAGCCCAGGCTGCTTGAGAGTCTGGTAAACAAGGAGGATCCTAAGAGAGACATACATGGTCCCCTGGAGAAGGGGAAGGAGACAAGATCTCCTGAGCAAATTGGGAGCATGGGAGGAGGGGGAGGAAACTAGGAGAATGAGAAGGGGGGAAAGGGAGGGGTGAGGAAGACATGATGGGTCAGGGAGGTTGGGGGAAGAACAGAAGAGAGCAAGATAAGAAATAATATAATAGAGGGAGACATAAGTTTAAAGAGAAATCAGGAACAGGGAAATGTCTGGAGAGCTACAAAGATGACACCAACTAACAATCTAAGCAACAGAGGAGAGGGTACCTTAAATGCTGTCTCCTGATAATGAGATTGATGATCTGAAGTTTCATTTGTACATTCATGTCTTACATAAACATATGCTTTTATATATCTACATAAAATCTAGGATTTGCCAATGAGCAAAAACATGCAGTTTTTCTCACTGAGTCTGATTTAATTTGCTTAATATGATTGATATTCTATACTTGCACATATATTTCTGCAAATGACACCATTTTGTCCTCTTTTGACCAAACACATTTTTGTTGTGCGAATATACCACATTTTCTTTATTCTTCTGTTGAAGGGCATCTATCTTAATTTCTTAATTTATTATGAGTAGTACTGAAATAAACATTGATGTGCAAGTTTCTGTATGATTTGTTTTGAGTTTTTAGGGTAAATATGCCCATGATGCTCTACACATGTTGACATAGTATATAGTTAATTGTCTGTATATATATGTGGAGGCTTGAGGTCAGTGACAATTGTCTACTTTGATCAGGCTCCACTTTAAAATTTGTAGCCAAGGTTTCTTACTGAACCTGGACCTCATCTATTCAGCTGGCCAATGATGTTCAGCCATCCATTTATTGCTGGCTAACCCCAACCTAGAACAGGCTTAGGGACTTAGGACTTTAACATTAATGCTGGGGATTAGAAGTCTGGGTGACAACCAATTCAAAGACTGAGCCATTTCCCTAGTTGCAGACAGGATTTTAAAAGTATACAATCAACCTTCAACCTAAAGTCTATTTTAAAAGAATAGCAATGAATTTTAGGAGTAAAGATAAAGAGATTATGAGATTAAAAACAACAACAGCAGCACAAAACTATGCTCATTTGTGCTGGAAAGGCCTTCTAATAGAGACACCAAAGAAGACTGAGATGAATGAAATAACACCAGAAAGATAACCTTGCATAAAGATATTAAAGCGAAAAGCAGTAGGGACAATCATGGTAAACAATACATTTCCCTTAATAAGTTTGCAAAATGTATTTCATAATGAAAAGGAAAATTTACTCATTATCTTATTGGATATTGGATTATATAGATGCAGTACATTAGGAAATTCTGAAGGAGAAGAATTAGTATATATTAGTAAGCATGCTATATTCTAGTGAAGGAGGTACAGTGTTGACTCATTGCTTATTCTAAGGAAAAATAATATTACAACCTAGAATACCTCTGATAAAACTGCTCAGAGAGCACAACAAAAAGAAAAGCCCTGCTGGAAACCAACTTGAAGATAGGCAGTGGTCTGGTGACTTATGCTTATAATACCAGCAGAACAGAAGCTGAGGCAGAACGAATGCTAGAAGTTTGAGGCCAATGTGGGTTATAAGATGAGACTCTGAAAACAACAACATGTGCAATATTATCAAAAGTTGAAGTAGCTGGTGTTAGCTGTGATAGCTGTTGGTAGAGGGAGAGTAAGAATTTCTTAAGGGCCATGATATCTTACCTTAGCTGGAGATTAAGAAAAGCTAACTGGGAATGGGTTGGACCACCTAAAAGCTACCTCACTCCAAGTGGCACACCTTCTCCAACAAGGCCACACTGACTCATCCTTTGCAAGCGCTTCTACCAATTAAAGACCAAGCATTCAAGTGCATGAGCCTATGGAGGTCATTCTCATTCAAGGTATCACAGAGATGAGCAAGCTGATTTTCAGTGGGCCTTGAGGCAGACTAGATAGTTGAAGACTAGGCAGTATTGTCCTTTAGTGAGGTTTCTGAATTTTGAAAAAGCAACCTGATTATACACAGGGAAGAAAAAACTTGTACTTTGTTTTCTTTAGGTTTTAATCAGTAAGCCTCAAGGTTATTCTAAGTTTTCCTATTAACTGCAACTTGAGAGTTATTAGTGAAAGAAGTATTACATTATTCAGTTTTAATTTTTTTCATTTTCATGCATATCATTAAGATTACTTCTTGTTGGGGGCTCATGGAATAATCAGGTGAGCTATATGAAAAACATAAAGTAACACAGCATAGCAATGATAGAAAGCGATACTTCAACAAATGTTCACTTTAGCTTAGAATCAATATATTTGGCTTCCGAATTATTTCAGAATTTTCTATAAACATTCTGAGATATGAAGTGTCTTACAATCAGTCAGTCTGTATCTATAATTAGTATTAATAAATCCTGCATTCAACGCTTCTAAGTGAAAGTCCAATGACCAGTTGAAGGCACTAAACCGGTTATCTAGAGATTAAATCTGATATCAGTACATGGCGGGCAGCCTAAAAAAAAATCAGTCATTCACCACAATAAACTGAAGCTTTATCTGCTTCCAAGTGAAGGTCACTTCAACTCAGTAGTCTCCAAAATTGCTACTGTAATATTTGATATTTCTTAAAATATCCAATTACCTGACGTTCCTTTAAATATTTTCTCTTCACCATCAGGATAAACTATTTTTATATCATCAAACTGCTTCTTTTTCTTCTTCATAGGAGCTTAAAAATGTAATAAGACAAATTATTAGTAGTGATAACAGAATTAACCAAGATCAAATATTCTTCCATGCTTAAGATAAAAACAAGTTCTTGTTAACCAGTATGTGGTATTTGGAGGACAGAGAGGCGAAGATGGAGAAATATCAAATGGGAGGAGATAATTCTTTCTGAAGTATTATTCCTTTTACCTAAAAGACATACTTAAGAGAGATATTTTTATCTTTGAAAAAAAGAAATCTGCACCATAAGCATGAATCTTCCTTTTGGCAGGAATGCATACTATCATAATGATATTGATGAAGATTTATTGGCCCACGATGACTATGAGATTCTTGAACTTGACTTATTAAATGAAAGCAAAAATATAAGGTGTGTATATTTGTTTCTCTACTTGATAGAAGAAGGCATCACTACAATTTTGAAATTGATATCTTTATACCTTGTCACTTCGATATTATGAAAATATTAATGTACTGTTATCTAAGGAAGATATGATGTAGCAATGTTTAAAATTGCTACTTCAGAGAGCTGAACAGATGCTAAGGGCAATTGTTGGTCTTGTAGAAGACCTGGGTTTGGTTCTGAGGACCCACATGATTGTTCACAAACAACCAGTTCCAGGGGTCTGTTGCCCTCTTCTAACATCCAGAGATACCAAGTATGCAGATGGTACACATATATGCATACGGAATAAAATACACAAAATTTTTAAAATATTTTGAAAAAAAATTGATAATTCACATTGTTTGCCTATTACTTGAGAAAGAGATATTGGGATGTACAAAACTGTTAAAGTGATTTATAATCTTAAGCACAGGGTTGTACCAAGCCTTTAAGAAGCAAATAGACCGAGTTAATCCATCTAGCAAACTCATTTAGTAGGTTTATTTTTCTCAAAAATTTATGACATGCAAAAAATAGAAGTGTAGTATTATAGTGATTGAAAATATTAGAAATCTGTAGCTAGAGAGAGTATTGCAAGCTTCCAGTGATGTAAAGATGAGGGACCATGCAATTGAAGGTTATCAAGAAATACTTGATTGAATGCAATGATTAGAAATAAACAGTGAGTGGTGATTGCAAGCTGAGAAAATGGACACAGAAAGGCAAAAATGGGAAACAATGTTTATAATAGTCAGTATTCTTTTTTGACATAACTATAAATGAAGTTTTCCGATGTGGTAGAATTTTGCAGGTCTTTGTAGAAGTTTAGTGTGTTATACTATACAGTTGTAGGTGGTGAAAATGTCTGTGAAATGTTAAATAACTTGCAAAAACTATTCACAGGTCCTGAAAATTATAAAGGAGGAGTTAAGAGGAGGAGTTGGGCAGTAGTAGTCTAGCTCTGGAACTTGTACATGGCACCAGTGGAGGACAGCTGTCATCCTGAAACATATAGTGCGAAATTAAATCTAGAACTTTAATTTAAGACTGGACTCCATGTGATGCTTGCTTGCATACACCATTTAAACTAAATTTAGTGGGAAACAGTTTGGGGTCAGCAGAAGAAATGATCAAAATTAAACAATTGCAAACCATGGGTGGAGGAAGGTAAAAGCAGAATCTAATTAAGACCAGTTAATAAAGTAATAGAGTGACATAGGGAGGAACTCAACTAAAAGTGGGACTGAGAAGAAACAAGACTGATGGCCATGTTCTTTCTCAATAGTATGCATTCCTGGAACTTTTGAAAGAATTCTAGTGGGTTAGCCAATTACTAATATAGATTGTTTCACTTTTATTTCTTGATGTTAAACATAAAATGCAGCTGATATGAATTGGGCACAAGTCATGGTCTGCTACTGTGAAACCTTTTTCCATTCTTTTCCATTTTATGTCTCCCTTCTTTTCTCTACAACTTTTCCTCCATCTTTATTTCTATAATATCCCAGTTTTTCTATTCTTACTAGTTGACAACATACCAAAACACAGTATCTATGTATATAAACAATTTTACATATTAGTTTTAATGTGTTAGTAATAGAATGAGTTGATAAGATTATTTCAGTTTAGGTGTGTGTGTGTGTGTGTGTGTGTGTGTGTGTGTGTGTACAATTGCATGTGTGATCTTTTCGACTTGAACAGCAATGTGGAAATGATTAGCTTAGGACCTCATATATAGTGGGCAGCAAGTAAAAGTATTTAAGATATTACATGTTACAGAAATCAATGCGTCCTACTTAGTGGCAAAATATTCTCACATTCATAAGGAGCTTCATTTTCTCCTTTATATTCAAATGCATTTCTTCCCGTGTCATCTTTAATGCCAGCATCCTGCATTTTTTGTAAGTGATAAGCCATTTTTTTCTCTAGCATTGCTTGTTTCTAAAATGTTAAAGAAAATGTACTGATTAGTATTAATTTGGCATTTATAAATTCCTAAGAAATATTTAAACCATGTAGCAGAATAGAATTTAAATTTAGAGAGCAGCATGAGTTCATTCTATTTCTGATCAAACATTTAGGAGCAATTTACCTCACTGAATACTTTGGGAGATATACTACAGTTTTTTAATGTAACTTTTGTTTGTGAAGCTCTGTGATACTACTGACCACGGACATGGCAGAAGAGAGATAAATGTACAGAGAGAGTGCCCTAGACACTTTACAGCATTCTGTAAGAAAAAGGATTAGTGCACATAAAGAATCACGCAATATAGCATAAAGAAACATCCTGAAGGGTAAGAGAGAAGAGAGCTTTGCATTTCTCTAAAGATGAAAATTACATGTATTTTCATAAGCCCCAGTATAAAGGCTTCATACTGGCTAACATACTAAAAGGGCCCTTCAATAGTAGGGAATAACTAGTTAAGATAAACAGTAATATTAGTCCCAGCTAATAAATCATTAAAAATCTGATTATTCAAATTGTTTCCAATGTTATAAAGACTGAATACATGTAGTCAATATATGGCATCAAGATGAAGAATACTAGGCCTGTAAAGAAACAGGGCCATGCGACCTATAAAATTACATCATTCAATTATAATTAAACTAGGAAAGACAAAAGTTAGATTTCAAGCTGAGAATATCAATGCACCCAATCTAGCTGCATTGTGTATGCATTCAGTGATTGAAAGTATCTTAAAGGAAGCACAGAAAGGGAAAAAGACTCAGACTTTCAGACACGTAGAGACCACTTATTGTAGTTAAGGTCCTAGAAGGAGGAAAGCACGGATATGTATGTGCAGTTGATCTTCACTGCAAACTTGTCAGGATTTAGAATCTGTGAGGTTTTTTATTGAGAGGATTAACTGAAAAGAGAAGACACACCCCAAATGTGGGCAGCACTATCCTAGGGGCTGGGATCGCAGAATAAATGAATAAAAAGGAAAAAGGTGAGCTGAGCACAAACATTGATATTTTTTCTGAGCTTCCAAACTGTGGATGCAATGGGACCAGCTGTCATGATCCTGTATTGTCTCCTAAGATGATAACAGACTGTATCCTCCCAAACAAGTCACTTCTTGTCAGATATTTGGCCACAGAGAGAAAAGTAACTAATATGCAATATAACGGAAATATTTTACAATTGATACCTAAAAAATTCCAAAGTTGCTACCAATGGTGAACTTTGAGATTCAGGAGAAACCTCAAGGAAGATTACAAAGCAACTGAATGAGATCATGCTACCCTGATAACAGATCTAGACAAAGACCCTATATAAGATCAAAAACAAAACAAAACAAAACAAAAAACAAAACAAATGTTAACATTTCTTCTGCAAAATTCTATACAAACTTTAGGTACTTTGTATCAAACTCCATATCACATAAATTACAGGCCAAATGAATTGATTTTATGACCATGCATTCCAGATTGACTGAACATTTGGAATTTGATTTATATTATATAATTCCAAAGAATCATAAACATCAATTCAATGAAATCATAAAAGAAAATATCTGAGGACCCACAAACACTCCTTCCTGATAAAACTTTTGGAAATCTAGTAATAGAATTTTTTAAACCTGATGAAAAGTATGTATGCTAGACATAGAGAACCTCACAACTAATTTTAGTAATAGAAATGTCAATGGAAACTCTTATGCATACTACTGTTCTATTATTAAAAACCTACTTAATTAATTATTTTTATGTATGCATGTGTGCTTGCCATCTGTAGGTGTTTACAGACATGTTGAAACACTGAATATAAGGTGATATGCAGATTATACTAAATAAGACAAACCTATTTATTCACACGAACAGTGAATCTCAAACAAGATGCACATGTGAGAAGCAAAATGGAAGATAAAATGCAAATTTCAACTTACAATATTTTATTGGAAAATAAAATAGATACTTCAGTTTCCAATATTTTATGAAGTTTAAGTTAATTATATATTCTACTACAAATCAAACTTTGTAAATTTTACATCTAAGTTTGTCAAGAATAATTTATCTAAAATTTACAATTTTAGATATATATTTATTAACATGAAAAATCATTTAGTGTGTTTCAGTAAATGAAGAAGCAACCTACAAAGTATAATATGTAAAAGCAAAAACAGGAGAGGGGTTCAGGAGTTAAGAGCACTTGCAGAGAACCTGGGTTCAGTTCCCAGCACCTACATGGTGGAACACAAGCATATGTGACTCAAGTTCCAGGGGATGACTCCCTCTTCTGACCTCTGTACATGCAAGCATGTAGTGTACATGCCTATTTTCTGTTAAACACTCAAACACATAAACTAGAAATAAATCTTTTTAAAAAGATGAAAAAGAATGTGCTTACTTTAGGAGTAAATAAACATTCCTAAGAACATTGTATAGTGTGTGTGTGTGTGTGTGTGTGTGTGTGTGTGTACTTAACAGTTAGTAAAATGATAAAAGGTTCTATATGCTGCTGTTTTTCCATATTCTGCTTTACATTCTAAATCACAAGGCACAACATATTATTAAACATAGAGTAAAGCTTTTTTAAAAAGGAAAGAAAAAACAGTTTTTTTTTTTACCAAAAATTTATAGTTCTCTAAAAGAACATTTTTATAAGCGTAAGATTTTTATGAGAACTAAAGCTACTGTTTTATTGTGAAGATAAATCCAAAAGAGATTACATCAAATAATGGAGCACTGGTTTTCACATTGTGAAAATGCATTGGACAGGACATGTATAAGTGTGTTTATCTGGGTATAGTGGCTCTGGCAGTGTGTACAAGGCTCACATGCTCTCAGGAGGCAGAGGTCAGCAGCTCTCTTGGAGCCTCAGGAGTTCATGAACAGGCTGTGCCACACAGCAACAGCCAGGTTTTTGTTTTGTAAATTTTACCATTCAGTTTTGCAGAACATATACTTTTTGAATATTATTCACACAAATATGTACTCTGAAAAACCAAGCTTCTCTTCAAACATCCCAAGAAAGAACTTAATGCTTACATTACCTTTCTGTCACTCTCTTCTCGGCTTCTCCGCCTTTGCTCCTCTACCCTCTGCTCTCTCTTGACATCTTCTCCAATCTTCGTGAGCAGCAGCATCTCCTTTGTCTTCCATTCCTAGGGACCACAGTATCGTCATGAAGAGGAGAGTGGATTTTGTTTTCACAGCAGGTGCGTTTTTGCTTACCACCCAGGAAAAAACTGGCAAGCCAAGGGCCAAAAAGCTACATATATGAAAAGCTGATTGACATATATATCAGCCCTTTTCAAATGGACTTTTCTTAGGGCATTTGTAATAAGAAAGATGGAAGATGCTTCAGGGGATTCAGTGCCTGCTGCCAAGCCTGAGTTAAATTCCCAGAAGCCTCAGAGCAGAAGGAAAGAACTGACTCCCACAAGCTGTCCTGACTTCTCCATTGCATTATGCGGTGTGCACACACAAATGAATAGTTTTTAATCAAGAATAAAATTTAGCTGTGGTTGATTTTTACTAAAGATAATTTAAAAATTATTTTCTGTGCACACTGAAGTTTAATGGAAAGTGAAGCAATGCTTAGTAACTTTTTTACATTTGGTCTTTAAAAAGAAAAATTGGTTCATTATGCAGTTTGTGGTATCGGCATCTACTATTAAAGTTATTTACAATGGGAAAATTGCACTCATTTTCCCCCCACAACATTTAAATTCACCTCTTACCTCTTCAATTTTTCTACGAAGACTAAGTTTTTTTCTTGCATATTCCCTCTGTCGTCGCTCTTCTCTGTCCATGCGGAGTAGGCGTTGCTCTTCTGCCGTGCGCTCAAGTTGTTCTAATTCTTTACTGATCATATCCAAATATCTGAGTGGGGATGCACATATGATTGCAAGTGAGTCGGGAAGCTTTATCTTCATCCACCACACCAAGCCTTGCTTGGCGTGTCAGAGTTTGAACTATAGAATTTTCATAGGGTTTTGCATTTTGTTGTATTTTTTTTTTTAGTTCCATTCATCACTCTTCAGATCAGACACAAACATCATGTTTGGGTCATTTTTAATTCTTTTGGAATGCATACATATTATAAAGGTCAAAGAAATAGTGGGGTGAGGAGCAAACATGCTTCAGTGGTTTACACAGTGAACAATAACTCAGTGGATTTAGGAATCTGGACTTGCAAACGCAACAGAAAGCAAGCATGGCCCCAAATGTGTTCACTTGATGAGTATTTTCTGAACGAAGTGAGAACTAGGCTCTTGGTAGCAACACAAAACTCCGGGGAAGGTCTGGGAAACAAAACTACACAATAAATGTCACTAGACATAAAACTCTCAGTCTTCGAAAAGGAAAAAGAATGGAACATCATTTCACTTTCATAAAGATAAATTTGCTAATGCTAGTTAATGATTATGAATGGGAAATATCTGAATAAATTTACAGTTATTTTAGAATGCTCATGATTTCTTCAGATTTACTATAACTCCTGTTTTTCATTTGGACTGATTTCTTCAAACTCAGTGCTGTCAATCTGTATAGGATGATTATAAAACATTGCTTTTCTTTTTATCCACTGCTAAAATAATTTCTCCTACAGAATGCCTCTGAGGTCTGGTGCTTCCTCCTTTTCTCACTCCATTATCTCTAGGATTCACAGAAAACTCAACTACCCTGGAAGAAGTCTCCACTCACGGCTTTAGGACCAAGATTCTTAATACCTGTACCTCTCTTATTTCCCGTCCTTTCTCTCTCCACTGAGTAATAACAATAAAGAAGAGTTAAACACTACTTGCTATTAAGAAAATAAAAGTCCTACTTACATGATTTTTAATATAATTCATTTCATACACACACACACACCACGCTATGACTTCAGGCTCACCTGTGCCTTAACAAACGTTCTTGGTCCTTAACAGACTGTGAGGTGTCCTGTAACAACCATTGCTGGAACCTTGTGACATCAGAACAGTTAGGAAGTTGGCTGGTTTCTTGCAGTTTATGTAGCTGTTTTGTAATCAATTGCTATTTTTTTTAATAAAAGAAAGCCATAAATATATAATGTTTTTATAATTCCAAGAAATATAATCACTAAAATACCTACATTTTATGAGATAAATTAATTGCATTTAATTTTATTCTGAGTCCATTACAAATGTGTGAAGCAATGCTTAGTAACATTTTTACATTTGGTCTTTAAAAAGAAAAATTGGTTCATTATGCAGTTTGTAGTATCGGCGTCTACTATTAAAGTTATTTACAAATGGGAAAATTGCACTCATTCCCCCCCACAACATTTAAATAAACCTGTTTTCTATCTATATTTGGTCTCACAATATATAACGCAGGCTGACTTTGAACTCCCAATTCTCCTGTTCCAGTTTGCAGAGTACTGGGCTTTCAACTGTGTATGGTTTTTATTCATTCTCATTTTTCTCTAACATTATCATTTTGTAATATAAAATTGTAAGCACACACTTGCCTAACGTTCAGATCTTTTGACACTTTAAGAAAAATCTGAGCCTGGCGGTGGTGGTGCATGCCTTTAATTCCAGATCTCGGGAGGCCAAGGCAGGTGGATCTCTGGGAGTTTGAAAGGAGTCTGGTCTACAAGAGCTAATTCCAGGACAAACACCAAAGCCACAGAGAAACCCTGTCTCAAAAAAAAAACAAAGAAAGAAAGAAAGAAAGAAAGAAAGAAAGAAAGAAAGAAAGAAAGAAAGAAAGAGTGAGAGAGAAAGGAAGAAAGAAAGAAAGAAAGAAAGAAAGAAAGGAAAAGAAAAGAAAAGAAAAATCTGAATCCTATTATGCATATTACACACACACACACACACACACACACACACAGAGAAGAGACAGAGACAGAGAGAGGCATGCTATACACAATTTTGATTCAAGACTAAAAGAAATGATCATAATTCTAATTCACTTTTATGAGTTTTGTGACTGAATACAGTGTGTATATAGCCACAAACACAGCCTTCCTGGTTATTCAGTATTATGCAGGATATGACAGATGTAACAAAGGAAATCAGCTGTTCCTAAGACTGGTTTCGTTTTAGCTTTGGAATTTTTCTAGTACAACAGCTTCTAGTGCCAGCTAAGGTCTAAGTAGTTTATCTGATTTACTGACTTTTTGGTTTACTGAATTACTTACTAAATTAACAGCTAGATATAAATAATAATATTAAATATTAGTATACTGATGATATGATCTAATCACCCCCTTATTTCGCAAATGTAACTTGCAAATATTGTTTATTTCTGTTCCAAATTTTACGTAGATTATTTAATCAGCATATAAACTTCAAAATATGAGACAATATCATGCACACATAAAACCATTTTATCTTTCTTTTAAATCAGCGATTTTAAATGCATAACTTACCTGTTCTCTTAAATAGTTTCTTTCAAAGTCTAATTTTAAGCTTGTAAGATATTGTCGGTATTTATTCAGTTCCCTCAAGCTACAAACAATCTAAAAAGAAAATAAAAAATGTATAAATGTATGAAGATTTAAAGTCATAACAATTACTTATTAGAGAAAAACGCAATGACAATGTTAATGACACATTGTTATGATGAATAAGAAATTACTAACAATTTAATTGGTACTACCTCTCAATTGTAAGCAAAAAAATTCTATCTATAAATAAAACTTTATTACTATATTATAATAAAGAAGTTACTATTCACAATAACTGTAGTTATTAAAATAATTCTAATTAATTATAAACTGGATTATGATTGCAAATATGTCCAAATGCAATAAGAACAATCTCGTAGGATGCTCACAAACTACATTTACTACATTCTGATTTCAAGTTTTTAAAAATACAAATCACTTACAAGAACACAGTACCATTACAGAGAGAAAAAGGAGAACTATGATTCAGGTGGGAAAATTAATATACCTTTACTTCTTCAAAATACTTGACAATAATTTTTTGATATCAGACAGAAAAAAGGTGAAGGAAATAATTCCACATGGAAGCACTCATTTTCTGAACACTGAGTATTCTATAAAACTGATCAAGTAGTATCCTATTACAACAAAGTTAATGGTAACACTACAGAAAGACAATTCTTGGGAAGACCCTTACTTGCCAAGGTTGACCTACTGACTAGGACTTCTGTGATGTGAAGGGGATGGAATGCTGCAGATCCACGGCTTAAGTATCATTGATCTTAAGGCATCTTTAGACATTCCTTGGCCACATTTATTGGAACTAACTGATGAAACCCCCTTTTGGTCTATTAACAAATCCCTATTTTCTACTCATCAAACAGCTAAGAATGACATTCACGTAGCATACAAGGTCTATACCCGACACTTCCTTACTTGGCTATACCCACTTCTCTTATGTTTCCATCAACATATTTTAAAAGTCTCTTGATTTATGATTTTCTTTGTTTAGTTATTATAAAACTTCATGAAGTTACTTCCACATTAGATCATGGAATTTGGGGTAACCTAACTGTGTTCGTGAGCAATGATCACTCATTTTTGGCCCCAGAAGAAATTATTTTGTATCCCCTTTGAGATGAGACCTGTTTTTTTTGCATCAAGTGACTGGTTTTCACTCAGGGAGGGGAGCAAACACAAAGTAGTGAATGTTTTCATTGATTAAGCAAAAGATCATCAATCAACTCACTTTGTTATTGCTGGTGATATAGCCACCTTTCTTTAGTCTTCTCAGAATATCTTTGCGCTTATAGTATGTTCTTAAATGTGGATCATGGAGACTTTTATATTGTGTTTCCAAAAGTCGACAGTAAGGATCATTCAGGTTAAAACCATAGGAAGGTCGAAAAAGCTGCATACATAAGATATTAAAATATTACAAATATAAATTAATGTATTTTCACTTTTAATTAACCTGCTGACATGACTAAAAAATCAAACATGCATATTAAATTTGAACTTGGAATAAGCAAGCAACAGGAGGATTTATTCATGCAAGTTTCCCTTCTTCATCTCACCCATGTGAGGTAATTTAACCAGTTGCCTCCACTAAATCAGTTCTTTCTCTTGTGCATCACCTTATGACCACGAGACCAAAACAGAGAGGAAGAAAAGAATGGGAATAATGTCTCATTTGTTTTAAAAACTACAGTCAATACTAGGACTCTGTCTTTTCTGTCCTCTCTAGACCATGGCACTATACACAAGAGAAAAAATTATATTAATTATTACATTCCAATCACCTGAAAGTGAAGAAAAATAATGGAAAATTCTTTTACTAAGATTAAATGGAAATAATGCACATAAGTAGTGTAGAACTTAGATATTAAGGACTAAGTATAAAGAATTATAGTGTCTTGGGACCTTTAACAAACTCAATGTACTTTGAGTGTTACAGTCATAAAGAAAATCAATGTCTATGTCATAGAATTCCACATATTGAAATACAAGTTTTAAGACATATTTACAGAAAATGTGCTTTTGTCCTATGTATTAATACCAAATAAAACCTCATACAATAAAATTAACATATAAACAAATTTACCATATAAATATAAATATTACCATATAAATTGCATAATAAATATAACCATATTAAAGAATGAAGACAGCCAACAAATATGTTCATGATTCCCTTTATTTTACTATGAAGGAAACACCTAATTTATTTAATCTCCTTTGTCAATTGAAATATTATCAGAGTAAGGTCTTGGTGTGAGTTCTCAATTTTTCAAAGGGAGAATGATGTTAGGTTGTGCAAGCATTTCTGAAGTAAAGGTAGCTGATAGACGATTGTGTAAAAATGTGCAAATGCTGTCTTTGCATCTTTTCAGCTTCAATGCTTACTAATACAATGCCAAGTCAGGAAACGGTGATGATATTGAAGGATGGGGGTGGTGTAGAGGGCTTATGCCCTACTTGTAGGCATCTAATTCAGTTCACACTACCAAGTAATATTGTGCACTAATCCACCGGGTCCTGGAGGTGCCAGTTTGAGACTTTTGTTCATTTTACAAGTCCAGTTCTTTTCATGAATACTGGAGAATCAGGTGAAGTAGGGCTGTAAAAAGAACTAGAAGGCAGAAGCAATGCTTCCTACTGGGCAAAAAGGAAAGCCTAAGGGAGCAGGGGAACAGAATAGCTCATCATTTGCATTAAACAACCTTTTGTTATGTCACTAAGGTCTTAATGCTGCAAGTTTAATACCTTTCAAAGGGCCCAATCAGAAAAGTAGATTGAATGACTACCAAAGCTTCCCAGAGAGCACCAGTCCCCCTGTAGCTTAGAGTCTAATTCAGTGTGAATTGCACCAGATAAGAGGTACACATCATTGAAGGAAATAATATGTCATTGAAAGATCTGGTTGTCTTTCTTGGTAACATTTGACTGTCAACTTCTTTTAGATGTTGACTTTTAACAGCAACAAATACATGTCTCAATATTAAAGTAACCCTCAACAAAAGTATAATAAGCCTCGTTCAGATTTATTTAGTCAAGAATTGGAGGAGATAGGGATAGGACAAAAAAGCTAAGCATTTTAAGGTAAGTGGGCAGTATCATACAATTTAATAAAGAAATATGAATTCTAAGCAAAAATGAATTGATGGCTATGACATAGTTCACAAGTGATCCTCTAGAATGACTCAGAATAACAAATTAGGAAGAAGAAGATAAAAAAGAGTAAACCAAGTTTGGAGACAAAATGGACAAAAAACATGAGTGGTGGTTTCAAAAGAAAAAAACAAACAAAAATATCTTTCAATGAGAGTTTATTCCCAGTCAGTATTGGTTAAAACCCTAGTACTAATTAATAATAAATAGTAAATAGCCTTTTAATCAAATATTTCTAAGAAAAATTAATACATAGATATATAAAGGGAGTATAATTAAATCTTAATATGCTGCTATGTACTATAAATTAAAATAGTGCCGAAGACCTAAATATTTTGATCATGATTCTCTAAAGCCATATTGGATGAAATTGCTAAAGCACAGTCTCAACAATAGCTGTGGTACTATGTCTGACTCTTCGTACACATTCTCCTAATATACTCTTCAGTATTGTCTAACAGAATACAGCATTGGAATACATCTAAGACAATTAATGTGATCATCAAAAGCTGTGTTACCTTTTCACTGATATTCGTAGTAAAATACACAGTATCAGTTCCTGGGATCATAGGCAGCTTAACCCCAAGAGGAAGATCCAGTAGCTGAGCGGCTCCCACCCCTGGAATTGGGGTTTTGTGTGCCCTCTGTGAAATATAATCAGATTATTTGTGGTTTCTTTCAATAATAGTCCTTTGCTGTGGCCCATTTATCTCCTCCAGCAACAAGGATAGAAATCAAAGGGAATAGTCTTAAGGGCACGCCCCCACAGGGCCCCTCTCTTCAGCTGGACTAGGGTACTCGGGATAGTCAGACAGGAGCTGGTGTGGCGATTCCTGCTCCCAGGCCTAAGGCCCGCAATGGCTACTCCCCAGGCCTGAGGCCCAGGACATCCACACCGGCCTGAGGCCAATCCACTTACATCTCCACATTGCTGACTTTCCTCAGCCACACTGCTGGAGGCTGCTTTTTTGGCAGCCACATTGGCAGTCTTAGAGCAGGCGCTGAGGTACAGTTCCATGGCGGCCTGAGCCTCACGCCCTCCCTTGCCGCTTCCTGGCTTCCTTCACCGTGGTCCCTCCGTTCCTAATGACCGGTGCCAGCCCCCTGGGGCCCCGCGAGCTGACGTTCCACATGGAACAGTGGAGGCCACGCAGGAAATCGAGTGCCTCAAATTGGGAAATTCGGCCCCAGAGAACCGACTGTGACGAACTAGACCAAAAGTCTGGTTCTCTTGGAAACCATCAACCCTCAGACAATCCGAACAAAGAAGACATTTTGTTTGTTTTATTTGGCTTTTTGAAAAAAATCATTGGTTTGTTAAATGTCTTGATTTTTGGTTTTGTCTGTCTTGCGTTAGTTTTAGAGATAGACAGAATATAAAGTTGGGAAGATGAGAGATGGGGAGGACCTGAGAAGAGCTTAGGGAGTAATACTCGATCAAATTACATGGGAAAAAAAAATCATGTTTGAAGTTGTAACTGAATAAATCAAGTTTTCATAGAGAATAGTACTATGGTAACTGTCTAATAATTTAAATTTATTCTTATTAGACTGAAATGAGGATTGAGTTCACAGGGATTTTGTGTGTGTGTGTGTGTGTGTGTGTGTGTGCTTCTGTTTTCAAAACCACATCATGCTGTGTACAACCACCATAGAAATAAGGCAGTGCTTTTCAATATTTTCAATACTAAACATTCATTTTAACGTATTTAAATAAAGTGCCTCTAATTGTGGTTTTGTAATTTCCTTACTTTTTAATCTTCATAATACTGAACTAAAGGAAATTTGTTTTTGTTAACATGGAATAATTGTCACTGATTCATGTAGCTGGTATTGTAACCATTCTAACACTCGTGCACAGAACAAGTGCCAATTAAAATATTACTACATCCTTATCATCTTCTGCCAGCTGGCTGCTTATATTAACATTGCAGGGGATCACAATGCTATTTAAGGTAACTGCTTATCACTTATGACTAGATTTTATGTTGCTGCTAATATTTTCACCTAATTAGTGAACAGTCAGAGAAAAGCTTTATCTTTAGTGTGACTTCACAAATAATGAAGCTAAGAAGAAAGTTAATCTTTGGAGACATTCTGTAAGAAACAAAATAACAAAAATTGTCTCTATCATCTTCTCCTTGCTGAGGCTTCTCTATGCAAAGTACCTTGTCAGCCATGTGCTGCTCACTAGGTTGCTTTAGTACTTATGTATATTTGTCATACTCTTTCCAATCTCTTTCTTGAAAATTCTTCTCAGTCAAGCTGTGTTAGATATAGACCCTATGTTCTGGCAAGTTTTAGGTCAACTTGGCACAAGCTAGAATTGTTTGGGAAGAGGGAACCTTCAAATGAGAAAATGCCCCACTCTTTTGGCCTGTGGGCAAGCCAAATTTTAAATTAGCAATTGATGTGGGAGGAGCCAAGTAATTGTGAGTGGTGCCACCCTCTCACAAGTGGTCCTAAGTGTATAAAAAATTAGACTGAGCAAGCCTTGGAGAGTAAGCCAGTAAATAGCACTCCCCATGGCCTTTTGTATAAACATCTGTCTCCAGGTTCCTAACCTGTTGGCCTTCCTGTATTGGCTTCCTTCGTGAACTGTGGCTCAGGATACATAAACCAAATAACCCCTTTCCTCCTTAAACTGCTTTAGGTCTTGATGTTTTATTGCTGCCTACAGGCAGAAAATCACTGGGATTTGTTTGATAGTACATTTTGAAAGAGTCTTTGTAAATGTAAATTCACTCATTTTCACTTAATAACATAAATACTATATACATCCTTAAGTTTTTTCACTATGTGTTTACTGTGTCTTTGGTTCTTTCTCTCTTTTTTCTCTCACTCTCCTCATAAAGAATCTTATCTGATTTATAAATACTACCTCCATTTTTGAAAGTTTTATGCAACAATACCAGAGTAAAGTTTTAAGGTATTGACTCATAAAGATATGTGTTGTGGAATAATCTTTTTGTACTGTGAAAATGTGTCTTTGCCAAGGCACCTTATGATTGGTTTAATAAAGAGTTGAATGTGCAATAGCTAGGCAGGAAGAAGTTAGACAGGTCTTCCAGAAAGAGAGAAAAGGAGATGAATTTAGGTGCAGGGGAGTTGCTACGAGGATGCAGAGGAAGTAGGAAGGGTGGGAGCAGAGGTAAAAGCCACAAGCTATTGGGCAACATGTAAACTAACAGAAAAGAGTTAATTTAAGTTATAAGCTAGGTAGATAAGCCTAAGATAAAGCCAAGCTTTCATAATTAATAATGTTTCCAAGTCTTAATTTAGGAACTGGCAGTCCAAGAAAAATCCATCTACAGGTATACTCCTTTGTGTGTGTCTGTGCATTTAAGAAAGGGTCTAAGAGAAAATGATGCAGTGGTCCTTATTGTTCTGTCTAAGTTCTTCCCCAATAAAACACCCATTTATCATTTTAAAAAAAAAAAGAAAGTTTCTAACTGTTTAGTACAGCCTGGTTTTGTATTCACAATCCTGCAGCAGCCTCTGGCAGTTGGGATTATAGGCATGTGCCACTCTGCCACACTGGTTGTGATTTTCTTAATGGACTTAATGATTTTTTTTTCTGTTCTGGCCCAGGGAGTAGACATTATTAAAGATAGGACTCATTCAAAGATTTCCATTAAAAGACCATTCAAACCATGTTTGTTTGTTTTTTTTTCTGTGATTTTAAAGATACAAAATTAAAATGATTCCTTCAAGCAAGGAAGAAAAGAAAGCTAAGCGAAAATGTGTCATTTAAAGGCTAAATACCTGTAAGTCCACAATGCAAAGGTGCTTCATTTCAAATAGGGTCTATATTCATTTTAGATTTGCAGTTATTTAAAATCAAATCTGTTATTCTTTAAATGACCTTCAAATTCTGAAACCATTGTTTTGATGTGAACTTAGTTAGGGGACAATATCTCTTATGAAGAAACTCTCATGGAGTATTTATAATGCTACGTATTTTTCTTTCTTTTTAATGGAAATAATAAAGCAACTGATTTTCATGTTTGATTTTTAAGGTCCAGATACTTAAAGCAAATTTTCTTTAAAATTTGTTGTTGGTTTTTTTTGTTGTTTTGTTTTTCAAGACAGGGTTTCTCTGTGTAGCTTTGGGACGTGGGGTTGGTGAATATCTTTTCCCAGTGTGTGGCTGCCATTTTGTCTAACTGACTGTGACCTTAGCCTTACAGAAGTGTCTCAGTTTCAGGAGTTCCCATTTATCAATTGTTGAACTCAGTGTCTGTGCTACGGGTGTAATGTACAGGAAGCAGTGTCCTGTATCAATTAATTCAAGGGCATTTCTCACTTGGTTTTCTAATCGGTTCAGTGTGGCTGGATTTATGCTGAGATCTTTGATCCATTTGGACTTA